TGTTAATGAGTCTTCCTCCAATTCTAATGTCACGTTTTTCTTCATATAACCCAGCTAGCTTTTCAGATATTTGCTCAGCATACAGGCAGAATGTTAGACTAGTAAAAAAAATTTAAGCAAAAGTAAATAGAAAATATTAACTTTAATTCAGTCTTCCCAATGCCAGCTGCTTTTCCTTCATTCTTTCTCCCACCCCATGATAATGGGTCCCCTGTAGTCACTGTCTTCTTAGTGTATCCTTTCTGTAGTCCTCAAGTCTTCCATCTGAGCCATCCTCACTGACTTCTTATGGTTCACTTAATACAAAGGGTGTCAAAAAGTTTGTGGAAAAATTCCATTGTCTTTCTATTCCACTTTGCCATGAACTTTCTGAAGCCCCTTGATTGTTTGTAGCATAGTCATCTCAGTAGTAAACATCTCTGGAGATTTGTATTAAGTCAAAGAGAAGTATAAATTTAGATTATTCACTTAATGAAAACTAGTTCATTGAACTAGCTAGTTCATTGAAACTTGGTTTGAAAGCAGGACAATGATTCATATATTTTCTCTGACTTTAATTTGATGAGCTTAATGTTGTTTAGCATATATGACCACTTGTATTTTGTATGACATATAATTTACCCTTGTATAAGTTCTTTATTCCTTTCCTTGTAGGATCTGGGTCCCTTAGAGCAAAATTTGACCTTTCAGAAGGGCCCAGTACGCCCACAACACTTGCAGTGCAGTTTCTCAGCGAGGGAAGCACCCTCTCAGGAGCAGACATTGAGCTTGTGGGCACTGGCTATCGGCTTTCTTTAGTAAAGAAACGCTTTGCCACTGGTAAGTTGGGAGATTTCAAAGTTTTTTATATTCCTGGGAAACATTTGTTTTCTAACACCCTAATTAACTAAACAACTGCCAGGCAGTTTATAATCTAAAGGCATGAACGTTTTTCCTTTGACCCTTGGTACAAAAAGTGCCAGGTAGGAACACACCTGGAAGATAAGAATGCCCATGGTCATGATAGCAGAACACCTGTGATATGATCTGAGTGTATTGTAAACAGCAGATGGGAACTGGGATTCTGGATCTTTGACCACAATGAAAAATGCCCTCTTTTGAGTTCACTTGGACTTCTAATTACAAAGATCTGCTTGGTGTTTTTCAGGACGATATCTGGCCGATTTTTGATGTGCCTGGGAAAATAGTTGGCTCCAGGAAGTACTACAAACTTGCCATTCTGCAGTATCTGTTCTTTCTAAACATTGTTCTAACTTGTTCTATGTCTTTTAAATTTAGACATATTTGAGAGCTAACTAGAAACGTTACATTGCACTTTTAAAGTCAGTCATTGGAAGAAATAGCACTGAGGTGATTTTTAGTGCTGTAAGTGATCACCTGCAATATTCAGGAAGCACATTTATTGAGAATCTCAGTAAAATGGGAATCTCAGTAAAATTAAAAATTCTCTTCAGTGTGTTTGTGTTTTAAACAATGGGGTTATGATAGAAACATGAGGCCTAAAATTCTAGGAGAGTGACCACAAAATAATTTACCTTTTCATAAATTATTAGAGTCAAAAGTAGCTTGGAAATTTCATGAGTTTAATATTAGATTGTTATAAGCAGAACATGAATTCTGCATTTGGGATGGTGTTAGCTGAGGACCCAATCAGATTGAGTTATGTGCCACAAAATAATCACACTAGACTCCTACTTGTATGCAAAAAGTGTATAATTTGATTCTCATATAAACATATTAATAAAGTGTAAATGGTGTTTTATATGATTTTTTTTAATCCTCAAGTGCAATGTGTTTTAAAATAAGCTTGCAAAAGACAGCAGAGATATTTACTTCTGCAGTTAGTTAACGTTATAGAAGTTGTGATTGTATCGATGAATTAATGCTATAGATTTAATTTATTTTTATATGGATTTCATAATGTGTGCCTTTTAAAACAGTAACAGAAACCAGAAATGTGCCTATCCAGTTTGTTTGTTAATGCGCCTCACCTGTCTTCTCAGTCTGAATTTTCTACTCAGAGTTCCATAGTGGTCAAGCAGTTTTGCAAGAGTATTTGCCGTTTTAGTAAATACCTTTTGGGAAGGGAATTCAGAGTAAGGAAAAGATAACTTATTCTTGAGGTTTTTGGCCACTAGAATAGAAAACTATGCCGGATGGCTAACACTTGAAAGGAAAAAAAAAAATAACTTCAGATATTTCATCTTAAATTCATCAAAAGTGTATGGATTTTTAAACATAGACACTGTAATGGTTAATTGGTAATTGTGTTTTTATTCTCAAGTCAACATTTCCATAATTACTCTGTTTATCATTGAAAATTTACAGGGATTCATCAATTGTTTGTAGGGTTTTTTGAGGAATAGCATTTTAGTTAAGAGTTAATTTTGGCAACAGAAGGAGAAGTACTGCCATTTGTTTTCAACAATTGGAAAACTTACCAATTTGTATATTATTGCTACCTGTTAGAAATAGAGGACTTATTTGGTGTGATGTTTTGGGATAAGCATTTCTTAAACTATTAATGTTAAGTAATATAAATCTAACTTTATAACAAATCCTGATTAATTACAGAGATGAACTATTTTGGACAGATTTTCATAATTTACTGATGGGAATTTTATTTATAGTGATAAATGCCAAAGTGCTTCATTTTACACAGTAGAAATGGTAAGTTGTGTTATCTATGATAATTTTCATAAAACCACTAATTGTTCTGTTAAGCTTACAGAAAATAAAAACTCCTTTCACTAAACACTTATATGTAAAATCTTGCTATATTAAGTACGGCAGAAAATCTACTCTTTAGCAATATGTAACACAGTATGTGCTTTTTTTTTTTTTTTTTTTTCTGTATTCAGTGTTAGCCCGACTCTAAATTTAGATTTGAATAAAGCAACACATAAGACAATTTGCTAACTTGTTCATCTTTACTCAGTAGTAAGCAAAATTAGAATTTTTAACTCTTATGTTGTGCTTTTTAAAATGCCAATTACTGTCTTTTACTGGAATCGTAACCATAATCTGCTTTGCAATCAAACTGCTCTTTTGAGGCAGTAACATTTTATAATCAGAATCCACATATTGTTCTATTCACCACGTTTGTTTTTTTGATCAAATATTACCCTAAAAATGTACAAATTAGTGAAATGGTTAAATTTCTGCACTTTTTAATAACCAGTCTTCAGACCAAGTGTTGACACAGAGATTTCTGTTGGGTACAGGTTACAATTTTAAAGCCATATGTTTATATTGATTCTCTTTTGTTTGTTTTTCATTTTGAAAAAATCCACTAATGGTGTAAAACAAACCAGTAGATTTTCAATGGGAAATGTATTTAGCAAGCTGGTTCTTGCTTCTGTATAGTGATAAACTTGGTAGTTTCTCTTTAACCAAGAATTTGTAAACACAGAACTCTAACAAGTATGAGTTTTTAAGGGTTGTTATTTACTACTTTGGGTTGTAATTAGAACAGTGAAAATCTATCTTACAAAATTTTGTAAATATTTTGATTTTTTTTCATAAAATGTAAATTTTACATAAAAGTTGTACTCTTAATAAACATGTAATATATAATTTATCAATTGGTTTTTGTGTCTTTCTATTCCTATTAGAAATAATAGCGGTGCCTAGTGGTACTGCATGATAATGTACTGGAATGCAAGGTTGATTTGAACCTCACGGTTGGCGGTTCAAACCCACCAGGTGCTCCTTGGAAAACCCTACCCAGGGTTCGCTATGAATTGGAACTGACTCCACAGCACTTGATAACAGCAACAAAGATACTAGGGTACTGCAAGGCATCCAGGAGATGAACTAGAAGAGTTTGAACTTTGTGCCACTATTTGTACAGACATATTTAACTACGCTCTTTCATTCTACTTGATTGTATAGAAAAATTTCACTTGGGGAATATCTGGAAAATACATAAATCCTTTTAAAAGATGTATGTGTGCTGAAATATAGTTACATTGTTGTGAAGCTTTAGTGAAGACTTGGTTCCTAATCAATGGCTCAGGAACACAGTCTTGTACAATTTTGAAATCATGTTGATCTAAAGAAATCATTAAGAACCTCAAGACCCCCTCAAAACAATGAATTTAGAAAGGAACAAGAAAAAAAAAAAAAAAAAAACGGCATGAGAAAAGAAAAGAATTCAATGAAAGTACAGAGACTTTGTAAAATCCATGTTATAAAGAGGGACACTTTAGTGACTCTGTGTCAGTGCTAGGAAACCCGTGGTGAAAGTAGGCAGTGCTCTTCCCCGTTGGGACTGTATGCCCATCGGTTTTTCCTTCATCCTCTTTTGTCCTTCCATTTCCAATTCTCATAGGATAAATGATGCTGGCTGCTGTAATAATCAACTCCAAGATCTCAGGGCTTAATACAAATATGTTGTTCACATCCCACGAGTTTAAGGATGAGCTTTTGTTCCATACAGTAATTCTGGGCTCTAGGCTTCTTCCACTTTCTGATTCTGCTCAGAAGCTTCTGCAATTGGCTATCAGAAAGGAAAGAACAAAAATTACATGGGAGGTGTTTTACGGGCCAGGTCCAGAATTGGCATCATTTCTGCCTATGTTTCATTAACGAGAACTGGATTTTGTAGCAAAGATGGGAATGTTATATGGGGAGAAAAGAGACCCCATTTTTGAGTAGTAAACACAAGACAAAGACAAACAGCTGAGGTAAGGGAAGTCATTGAAGACACTGTGATGAATTTCCAAAGTTACGTCCACGTGGTGTCCTTTTATAGGGCACAGGGAACAAAGGAGTATCCATAAGTGCAGTCACATGCTTGCTGGACATTAGGAAATCAGGGAGGGGACAATTGCAGAGAGGAAAGCTTGCAGTCTCAGAGACTCTTGGAGGATGACATCACCGCCAGGCATCCATGAAAGGCTGTGTCCAGAAATGTTTCTGGGAGGACTAGCTTGGAGCAGTGACGCAAAACCTACTTTTAAGTACATTTTGCACTTAACTCTGGCAGTTCAGCTGTCAGAGTTGCAGTGAGATACTCTGACCACTTAAACCTAGGCACAAGAGGGAATTAAACTCTGCCTGACTTGAGTTGTTCCCAGTTTAAAAAAAAAAAAAAATGCCTTCAGGTTTCGTGTCTTACAGCAGACCTACAGGTTGATCCCATGCTTCAGAGGGAGAGGAAACAGGGTTTTGATAGGCAAGAGAATAGCCCTCTGCCAGGAATCCCTGGGTAATGCAAATGGTTAATGCGCTTGGCTGCTAACTGAAAGGTTGATTGTTCAAACCCAGCAAGAGGTGCTTTGAAAGAAAGCCCTAGACGTCCGCTTTTGGTAGGTCACAACCAAGAACTATGGAGTGCAGTCCACTCCGCAATGCATGAGGTGACCATGAGCCATTCGGCTCCATAGCATCTGATTTGGTTTTAATGGCTAATGATCTACGTTTTTCATGTGTTTGCTGGTCATTTCTATGTCTTTGGTGGAATATCTGTTCAAGTACTTTGTCTACCTGCCCCCCTAATGCATTTAAAAAATTGTTTTGTTGTTTGGTTGTAGACTTTTAATATCCTGGATATTAAACCTTTACATGAAGCCCCCAAATTTTTATCCAGTACTTCTCTCGTTACTCAAGTCCTGTAAGTTCCTTGATAGTTTACCTGTGTAGTTGAGAATCCTGTCCATGCACAATTGCAGCTGCTTGCTTTGTTCTGTTGTTTGTGGTCCTGACTGCTGGTACATTTCACAAATCTTCACAGTAGCATTCAATGATCACTTTGCCAGAAATTGGGCTGGGAAGTCATACTGGGAAGGGCTACTTCTTTCTCTTAAGAAGACTATACAAACTAGACTTTGTATATATGAACAGATCTTTTTCCCCTCCTAGAAGAAAACAAGTAATTTGAAAAAATGTAACATTTTTTTACTATGATAAACCAGGAGTTTGATATGTAGGCACATTCTGAGCCAGATTAGCTATATCTCTGTGCATTCTCAGATTAGACATCTATGTACTTCCTGAAATCCTTGGGCAACAAATATGTGAGAAATTTAAAACAAAAACATTTTAAAGTTAAGTAATTATCTAAAAGTAATAGCCTGTCAAACATTCCAAAGCATGAATACTTTATAGGGCATAAGTAGACTGACCAGATATTATCTGCTTGGCTATGAAAGTCCTGGAAATATCAA